AGCAGGAACCCTGCAGGCCAGGAGCTCAGAGGGGCAGGAGGAGCGGGGTAGAGACAGCCCCTGCAGCCAGGCTCCGCCGGCTGCTCAGCTCCTCTGGGCTGGGGCTCCTGCCTGCCACTGGCTGGGAGAGGACTCCACTCCCAATACACACCACTGGGGCCAGCACCAGGGCCAGCGGATGCTGTGGAGGAGGAAGGAGGAAGGAGGAAGGAGGCAGAGGCTTTGCTCTTGCCCTGCAGCTGTCACCTGTCTTTCCCGCGCTCGCTCTGGGAGGTGCAGAGCTGGGCTCTCAGAGTCGGCCACACAGCCTCCCCCGAGGCCGCCGCCATCCCACCCAAACCCCCTTCCCACACTCACTCCCTGCGGCTGCTCACCCGAACCGCCCTGCCGGGGACCCAGCCCCTGCTGCAGCCCTCGGGGCCACGAGGCAGCTTCCGGGGGTCCCCACAGACAACAGCAGCAGGGCTGCCTCACCCGGGCCCTGTCAGGATTGCTGCATTAAAAGCATCTCCTTCGTAACGCTTTATACTTGGGTGCACCATTCCAAAAAGGTCCCTGGCACACGATAGGTTAAGCCAGATGAGAATGCAATCTCAACAAAATCCTAGCAAAGTGACTTCAACAGCACAGTCCACCAGTCATGCACCAGGTCGAAGGAGGGTGCATTCCAGGAATGCAAGGCTGGCTCCACACCCACCCGCCCATCACTGCGCCAGAGCACACTGACAAGATGGAGGGTGGAAACTAAACCGTCACCTCAAAGGATGCAGAAGAAACATCTGAGGAAAATTAACATTTGTTTATGATAAAAACTCAGCAAAGGGAGGAGGTCACAGACCTCAAGATAACAACAATAGCCAAAGCCGGTGTGGCTCAGTGGATAGAGCATCAGCCTGCAGACTGAAGGATCCAGGGTTCGATTCTGATCAACGGCATGTACCTTGGTTGTGGGCACATCCCCAGTGGTGGAGGCGGAGGGGAGATGCAAGAGGCAGCTGATTGATGTTTCTAACTCTCTCCCTTCCTCTCTGTATAAAATCAATAAAATATATATTTTTTAAAAAGATAACAATGCTAAAGGTCGTCCATGAGGTGCCCACAGCTGACATCACACTCAACAGTGAAACGCTAAGAGCCTTCCCTCTGAGAGCAGGAACAGGACAAGACGCCCACGCCTGCCCTCTTAGTCAGCACAGTATTGCAAGTCCCAGCCGGGGCAGCTGGGCAAGAAAAAGAAGTCAAGGCATCCACACTGGGAAGGAAGAAGTGAAGCTATTTGCAGACGACATGACATTGTACACAGAAAACATGACATTGTACACAGAAATCCCTAACGACCCCACCAGAACCCTGTTAGGATCCGTCGACAATTCAGCTAAGTTGCAGAATACAAGTAAATGGGGTCGAAGGCACAAGATTCTGGTTGCAGGTGTCCCGTACGCTCTGAAAGTTCACGCCACACCACTCTATCACAGACCTGCGTCCGTGCCCGTCTTCACTGATGGGAAGCGATCAGAAGAGGGTTCTCGCAAAGGTGAAAAGCAGGAAAAGCGCTGCATTCGTTTTGCAGGGAGCCGGGAAGCAGGCCCCTCCCTCCCCCTCGCAACCCCAGCTCCTTCCCCAGAACCAGCCAGCTCAGCATCCCGCCCGCGAGCTGTGAGCTGGCTGAGCAGCTGCCTTCCTCTCCGTGTGCTCGGTGCATCTGTTAGCAAGCTGTGTCTGCGCTATCAGAAAGCCCACGCTCTCGGGGTGTTACGTTCACATAAAACTGAATGTGATCAGGCATTGGGAGCGCCATGAATATAAAGACACTGCGGGTGCATTGAACATGGGGTCTTGGAAACGCTCAAAAATCGTCCATAGACACTGAGTGGCCAGATGATGATGATCTCTGAACGCATCATCATCTGGCCACTCAGTGTCTATCCTGTAGAATAAAAGGCTAATGTGCAAATTGTCCCTTCGACCAGCAACCGCCCATGTCCCCTCCCCCTGGCCAGGCTGGCCGGACCCCACCCATGCACAAATTCATACACCGGGCCTCTAATATATATATACATATACATACATATATATATATTTAGCTGAGTGGCCAGATCATTATGCGTTCAGAGATCATCATAACCTGGCCGCTTGGTGAAAGTTAATAGTAATCGCCTCTTTGCTTTAGACTAGGGGTGTCGAACTCAATCAGAGAAGGGGCCAAAATCTAAAATCCAGCCTAAATCGCGGGCCGAATGGTTTACTGAACAGTCATAAACTGTCATTGTGATGGAAACGCAGCGGAGTGCAGTGATGACAGCGCGGTGCGGGCCACATTGCAAGGCCTGGCGGGACGGATTTGGCCCGCGGGCCTTGTGTTTGACACACGTGCTTTAGGCCGTTCCAGCTCACAGCCCCCGTCAGGAATCTGTGCTTTGTGGGGGACACTGGCGTGAGTCCCGGAGATGTGACGTGCAGATGGGGACACAGTGCCAACACTGTCCGTGTGAGACAGATCTTCCAAGCTCTCGTCACAAGAGAAAACAAGGGAGGTGGCGGGTGCTGACTGGACCTGGCGCGGAGGCCCCTGCGCCGTGTGCACGAACGGAACCTCACGTGGCGCTCCTGACGCTGACAGAACGCTTCCTGTCAACGACATCTCAGCCCAAAGCCACACGGAACCCGACCCCCCGTCCTGGAGGGGCATCTTCACGCCTGTCCCGGAACTGGGACAGCTCCGTTCGGGGCACCACATCCCTCCAGGTTTAACAATAACCAGAGGTTACCCGGCCGGCGTGGCACAGGGATTGCGCATCAGCTGTTGAACCAGGTCGCAGCTGGATTCCCGGGCAGGGCACAGGCCTGGGTTGCAGGCTCGGTCCCCAGTGTGGGGCGTGCAGGAGGCAGCCTATCCACGAATCTCTCTCATCATTGATGTCTCTCCCTCCCTCCCTCCCTCCCTCACTCCCTCGCTCTCCTTCTCCCTCTAAAAGCAATACAAATCTTTTTAAGATAATAAAAACAACCCCAGCTCTCCCCGTGGGCTGTCAGGAACCACTTTCTGGGCCTCTCCCCTGAAGCCTGGCCTGGGCCTTCCATCCGGGATCCTGGGCCTCATGGATCAGGAGCTCACGGAGCCAAGAAGTGAGAGAGGGACAGTCAGTCCCCGGAACAGGCGAGGGGCCCCCTCTCCTCCGGAGGCCTCCTTTCCTTCTCCCTTCCTCCAGTCCTCCCCTCTTCCTCTCTTCCTCTCCACCTCCTCCTCCTGCTCCTCCTCCTCCTCCTCCCCCCCCTCCTCCTCCTTCTCCTCTTTCTCCTTCTCCTCCCTGGGCCTCCTCCTTCTCCTCCTCTCCTCTCCTCTCCTCTCCTCCTCCTCCTCCTCCTCCTCCTCCTCCTCCTCCTCCTCCTCCTCCTCCTCCTCCCCCTCCTCTTCCTCCTCCCTGGGCCTCCTCTCCTTCTCCTCTCCTCTCCTCCTCTTCTCCTCCTCCTCCTCCTCCTCCTCCTCCTCCTCCCAGGGCCTCCTCTCCTCCTGGAGCCTCTTCTCCTCCCGGGGTGACTGCCCAGCGGGGTGGGACCCTGATGTCCGCCGCTGAGGGTGCAGGGGACAGAGCCGGTGGGCTTGGTGTGGGAGGGACTGGGTCCCAGTCTGCTTCCACCCTGGCTGCTCCTGAAGCGCCCGGACCATAATCCCTACACCATTGGCACAGCGAGCCCCACCCTGGAGACAGACCCAGATGGCCCTGGAGAAGCTGGGACCAAGGGGGGCGGGGAGGATGGCGGCAGGCTGCTCTCACTCGGGGGAGGGGAAGGAGACGTGCCTGTCCGCTGAGCCACGCAGTGAAACAATCAGAAAAGGAGATGGATCCTGACCTCGTCCAGTGTCTACAGCTGTGTGCCTCCATGTTCTAGGTAACCCGCCAAAGGTGAGCACAGACCCGCCCCCAGGATGACTCACTCGCTCCTTGTCCCTCCTGGAATAACAGGTGGGCCCGCCCCCTCCAGCCGGCACTGGGTCCCGAGGAAGCTGGCGGAGATTGGGGGTGTCCAGCCACACCATGAGGGGCTCCAGGGCACCGCTGACCGAGTTCATGAATATTTAACAGCTGACCGAGTTCATGAATATGTAACAGATGCGGCTTGAACACGCCCGGGGCTACCTGAGAGGGTGCTCAAGGTCATCAGGGATGCGAGGGGAGGACGCCACCACTGCAGCATCGAGTTCTAACAGTGGCCCTGGCCGGTGTTGCTCAGTGGATAGAGTGTCAGCCTGTGGACTGAAGGGTCCCGGGTTCGATTCCCAGTCAGGACACATGTCTGGGTTGCAGGCTCAATCCCCAGTAGGGGACGCACAAGAGGCAGCCAATCCATGATTCTCTCATCACAGATGTTTCTCTTTCTCTCTCTCTCCCTCTTCCTCTCCCTCTCCCTCTCCCTCTCCCTCTCCCTTCCTCTCTGAAATCAATAAAATATATTTTTTTAAAGAAGTGCCAACAATGGGGACCATCTGCACCAACGTGGTCTCTCCTTCTAGAACATTCTCCCACTCTGGGGGGAGGGGGGGACCGTGAAAGACATTCATGCCACGCAGGGCCGACCCTGGAATCTCATCACTGCCGACGGCAACATGGCAGGGTGGGCGGGGAGGGGTGCGGTTTGCTCACCCCGAACCCCAGCTCTCAGGGCGGGCGGGCGGGCGGACCTCGGAGGCCGAGAGGCGGCCAAGGAGCCCCCGGACCGGCCTGACCTGCCCCAGCAGCGCCCACGGCCGCCCCGCGTGGGTGGGTCCAGGGCCCCAATTAAAAAACGCTTATTCTCGGCACTCACACCTCCCAGACATCTGGCCGCCGCCATCCAGAGGGGCCGAGCCTCAGGAAGCCAGTCCCCAGCCAGCCGTCACCTAGCAACCAGCCTAGCAACCTGGCGGCCAAGGGATTAACCCCGGTGATCACCGAGCAGTGCCCAGAGGACACCAGGTCTCCAGGATGCCAACCAGCCGCTCGGGGACCAGGCTCCAGCCGGTGCGGGGACAACGGGACGCGATTTCCCTCCGGAGACTCACCAGGCGGAGAGGGGAGGAGGCGACGGTGGGGGACAGAGGGGGCCGTCACCAAGAGAATGAGGAAAAGGGGTGCCCGGCGTGAGAAAGAGCCCCCCCCCCCCGCCCCCGCCGCCCCGGCCGGTGTGGCTCAGTGGAGGGAGCATCGGCCCCAGGACTGAAGGGTCTCGGGTTCGATTCCAGTCCAGGGCATGGGCCTCAGTTGCAGGTTCAACCCCGGCCGGATAGGGCCCACGTGGGAGGCAGCCAATCGATGAGGCTCTTTCATGTCGATGTTTCTCTCCCCCTCTCCTTCCAATCTCTCTAAAAATCAATGGGAAAACAGTCTGGGGTGAGGATTAACAAGGGAAAAGAAGGGCTGCCTCCCCCCACCCCCATCCCCAGGAGTGCCTTCAGAGAGGCCAGAAACAGAAGGCAGTGAGAGGCCGAGAGAATGTTCCGGAAGGGCGAGCACTCAGTGATTCCAGAAAGCACCAGCCCTGAGCCTGCCCTGACCTGGGGCCAGGACGCCCCCCCTACCCCGTCCACAGGGGTCACCTCCCTGGCCGCCCCCTGCCAGTCCCCAGGCAGGTGCGCGGGGAGCAGCCAGGGGCCCCCTCCCCGGTGCCGCTGGGGACCAGGCGCCCCCAGGTGAGCCCGTCCACCTGGCGCTCGCTGACCGTGAGGCCCGGGCGGGTCACCGGCCCTCTGGGTGAGAAGTGATGCCTCCTGTGAGGCCCAGGGGCCCTGTGGGGCCCCGCACCCCTCCCCCTGCGCCTCCCCGGGCACCTCCCGGAGTCCTGAGCCCTGAGAGGCCCCGCGGGGACGGGCACAGGCCTCTGAGGGCCTCTGAGCCCAGGCTCTGGGCAACCGGAGCCAGGTAACCCCCCGGAGGCCCCGGTGCCAAGGTGCGGCCCCCACGGCCTCACCGAGGGGCCCGGGGACCTGCTCCAGCGGACCGTGTGGGAAAGGCACCCAGGAAGGACCCGGCGCTGGGGACCGCCTGGCACCCAGGGGCACTCGGCAGGCGAAGGGACAGCCGTTCCAGTGCCCCCTCTCCCCCCGTGGTCCTGACACGCCGGTGCAGGGAGAGGAGAAGGTCCAACCGGGGACAGGAAACCCAGACAGACTCAGGTGTGCAGGTGGCGCCCCCCAGGCGATGACGGCCACGGTGACCTTCAGATCCAGGTCACGTCTGCCTCCACCGGGAGCCGGTCCCAGGCCCAGCGGGCAGCAGGGGAGGCCAGGCCGGTGGCCAGGGAGGAAGGGCCGTGCTGACCCCGACTCTGTGCAACCTGGTCCCGTCAGAGCACCAGCCGCGGGCTCTCCTTAGCCCACCGGCAGGGGCCAGGGCTGCAGATGGCTCTGGGCCCAGCTTCCCCGCCTGCAGGATGCCGGCTCACAGCACTTACCTCGGGGCGGGCTGGGGGAGCAGGAGCTGAGCTCACACAGACAGCATCCTGTCCCCAGCACCTCTGAGGGGACCCCTGGGCCAGGCAGGCCTCTGAGGGCTCTTCTCCACCGGGTGAGGCAGCGGGGAGGGACCCGCCCAGCCCCCTCGCCCCCTCCGGTTTCGCTCTCAGCTATTACCAACCCCCCCTCCCCCCGAGCTGGGACGGCCTCCGTGGCAGACGCTCTAGGGCAGAGCTCAGGCGCCCAGGAGCACCAGGGCCCCCCTCAGGGTCAGGCGACACCTTCCAACCCAGTGAGGGCCACCCTTTCGCATCTGTGTTTCCTGAAGAGAAGTTTCTAGATCCGCATCCGAACTGGCCCCTCAGGCAGCACAGCCATGGGCACCTCAGAGCACCCAGGCCTGGCAGGGACCCCCTGTTCAACAGCTGGGCCTCCCTGGGAAACAGCCCAGAGCAATGCTCCCCCCCCCCCAAAAGTGAACACATGGGGGATGAGGGAGGGCAGGCGGCGAGAGGAGGCGAGCACAGAGCTCAGGGCGCTGGCCCACCACATAGAACTGTGACTGCTCTGTGCCTCGATCTCCCCATCTGCAAAATGGGTCACCCCGTTCTATAGATGGGGAGAACTGCCGCCTCCTCCCGGCCACCCCCTGGGTGCCAGGCCTTGCCGAGAAGTGACCGGTCAGTGACCCTGACAGCAGCCCCGAGGACTGTGGGAACTGAGGCGGGGAGGGGAGGGCGTGAATACGAGCTGGCGCGAGTGGGGGCGCGGTCTGTGCCAGGCAGGGAATACGGACCAGTCACCCCCCGCCCCTCCTCGCGGGCTGTGGGGTCAGCGTTCCTGCATGCTGAGTGGTTTTCACGTTGACGACCTTTGCTAACGGAAAGTTTAGGGGTGGGTCCCCCCATGATTAAAACTAAGCAGCCGAAACCGGTTTGGCTCAGTGGATAGAGCGTCGGCTTGGGGACTGAAGGGTCCCAGGTTCGATTCCGGTCAAGGGCATGTACCTTGGTTGCGGGCACATCCCCAGTAAGGGGTGTGCAAGAGGCAGCTGATAGATGTTTCTCTCTCATCCATGTTTCTAACTCTCTATCCCTCTCTCTTCCTCTCTGTAAAAAGTCAATACAATATATTTAAAAACAAAACAAAAACTAAGTAATGCGTGACCCTTTGGGAAGAGGAAGGAGTTTTCTGAACCACCAGTGGTTTGGGCAGCTGGGGCAGCCCAGACCCGTCCTGTCGGTCCCTGCCCGGTCACCGCTGTGCTCGGGACCCTCCCGGGCCCGGCAGCGCCGCGCCCGCCCGGCCGCTCACCTTGAACCTCTCGGACATGCTCTCGGTGACGCTGACCGTGAACTCGGCGATCCTGTGGGCGCGGCCTTTGCCTTTCTTGCGGCTGGGCTCATAGTCGGTCTTGGTTTTCACGACCACCTTGTCCGGGAGAGAAGCGACCGTGTGGTCAGAGGGGCAGCCGGGGGCCTCCGGGCACACCTGGCCGAGGAGGAGGCTCACGGCCAAGGTCACCCCTTCGCCAGGAAGCCCCTCCTCCAGGAAGCCGCCGCCTCCTCCTGGCCGCCCCTCGGAGCCAGGCCTTGCCGAGAAGGGACCGGTCAGCGCCCCTGAGGGCAGCCCCGGAGGACGGTGGGAACGGAGGGGCGGAGGGGTTAGGCCCCTGGGACGAGGCCACATGGCCGGGGGGGGGGGGGGGGGGCAGGGCCTGTCCACCTCCCGGTGGCCACGTCCTGTTCCTAACTCTCTGACTCAGTTTCCTCATCTGTGGCCTCAGAAATCTGTGAGACCAGCTCTCAGTGCTGCTCGGTTCCTGTCTCCGGGCGTCCTGGCCAGGGGTCCCTTTGTTCACACAGGCCTGGAGCTGGGAGACCGTTAGCTTGTGAGGCCACTCCATCGGTGGTCCCGGCCGTCCTGCCTACCTGGCCTCCTCCCTGATAGATGCCAACTGTTTACCATGCATCCTGGGATGGAACAGACGGAGGGAGCCAGAGGAGGGCCCGGCTGAAGGGAGAGGCCCCTGACAGGCCGCCTCGGGCACGGCGGTCTGGCATAGCCGCTGCTCTGGGTGAGGCGGGAGGGCGAGGCGGGGCAGCGGGGCCAGGCTGTGCTGGCCGGGCAGGCGCGATGCCCGACAGGGTAGAGGAGCTCGGAGGCGGAGGCCTCAGGCAGCCAGGCCCCTCCTGGACCATCAGGGGGGCCCAGGGGCTCCCCGTGGCCAGCTGCACCGGGTGGCCTTCCTCACCTGAAGCGCCTGTGCTGACCTCGCTCCTGCCCCCCAACCGAACAGACAGTACAGCTGGGTCAGCCCCCTCAGGAGGGCCGAGCCACCCCCTCAGAGGGCCCAGGGCAGGAAGGGTGGTCTGGGAGTGAGGCCCCCCCAGGAATCCCCAACATGGCCAGGAAACAGCCAAGCCCCAGCCAGAGCCTCCCCCCCCCCCCCCCCCCCCACACCGGGACGAAATGACACAGTGAATGCAAATGTGCTCGCTGGGAACAGAGCGTGCTCCGGCCGTGCCCGTGGCCATGCCAGTGCCCGGGGTGGTCTGAGGAAGCAGCAAGGGGTGAGGATGGACATGGTTTATTGTTCTAGGTTCATGTTTTACCACTGTGTGGATGTTTAAGCATCCTATCTACCTATTTAAGTGATGATTCCCGAAAACATCATCCCTAAGGAACACAAATCAGTTGACTGGATGCTGCATTCAGCAAAAGACGGTTCTTTACAGGCAGGGGAGCCGCCTCCGGGGCCGCTCACGCGGAGGGGCAGGGGCGCTGGGAGATTCACAAAGGAACAAAGGAGGCTGCAAGCCGCACGCTGACAGCCCGCAGCATCCTCCGCGCGGGATGGGGGGAGGGTGCAGAGGGCTCAGCCCCTGGGAGGGCCCCCACCCCCACTCCACCCCCACCCCACCCCCCACCGGGCCTGCAGGCCGGCCTCCGCTCCGCAAAGGGGCAAACCCGGCTGAGAGGGAACCTCCTGGGAAGGCACAGGGGCAGCGGCGCCTGCGCTCACCCCAGACCCAGAGCCCCTGGCACCGAGGGGCAGAGCAGGGGCAGGGGCAGGGCAGGGGCAGGAGCGGGGCAGGGCAGGGGCAGGGGCAGGGGCAGGGGCAGGGGCAGGGGCAGGGGCAGGGCAGGGGCAGGGGCAGGGCAGGGGCAGTTGCGGGGCCAGGACACCCTCGGACAAGACTCCCATGGAAGCCAGGAGGGGACATTCCCGGGCGCTCCGCTGTGTGCTCGCCGCTGTCCTCTCCGGGCCGGTTCCCCATCCGGAACCCCATCCTGGGGGTGGGGTCCTCCCTCGGGTGGGTCCGGCCGCCCCCCGCTCCGCGGCCCCAGCGCACGCGGCGGGTTTCTTTTGTCGCCGCCAGGATTCGGGGTTCCCGGCCGCGGGGTGCAGGCCCTCACCTTGTCCGGCGGCGGGAACTGCAGCTGGTTCACATCCAGGGGCGTCATCAGCGGGATGGTGTCGAAGCCGTCCTCCAGCAGCGCCTGCTTGGCGCCCTTCTCCGCGAAATTGCTCCCCAACTTCACCATGGCTGCGGGGACCGGGCTGCGCTGCGGGGGCCGGGGGGTCACCGGAGGGGCCCGCCGCTGCCCCCCAGCCCCTGTGCCCGCCGCTGCCCCTCAGCCCCTGTGCCCCCGCCGCTGCCCCTCAGCCCCTGTGCCCGCCGCTGCCCCCAGCCCCTGTGCCCGCCGCTGCCCCCAGCCCCTGTGCCCGCCGCTGCCCCCAGCCCCTCTGCCCCCGCCGCTGCCCCCAGCCCCTCTGCCCGCCGCTGCCCCCCAGCTCCTCTGCCCGCCGCTGCCCCCCAGCTCCTGTGCCCGCCGCTGCCCCCAGCCCCTGTGCCCGCCGCTGCCCCCAGCCCCTGTGCCCGCCGCTGCCCCCAGCCCCTCTGCCCCCGCCGCTGCCCCCAGCCCCTGTGCCCGCCGCTGCCCCCCAGCTCCTCTGCCCGCCGCTGCCCCCCAGCTCCTGTGCCCGCCGCTGCCCCCAGCCCCTGTGCCCGCCGCTGCCCCCCAGCCCCTGTGCCCGCCGCTGCCCCCAGCCCCTGTGCCCCCGCCGCTGCCCCTCAGCCCCTCTGCCCGCCGCTGCCCCTCAGCCCCTGTGCCCGCCGCTGCCCCCAGCCCCTGTGCCCCCGCCGCTGCCCCTCAGCCCCTCTGCCCGCCGCTGCCCCTCAGCCCCTCTGCCCGCCGCTGCCCCCAGCCCCTGTGCCCCCGCCGCTGCCCCCCGAGCCCCTGTGCCCGGGGCGGGCGGCAGGGCGCGACGGGCACGGCCGGGCGGGGGCCGGGCCCACACGGATTCGGGGCCCCGGACGGAGCGCGGGGCGCCCCGCGGAGGGTGAGGGGCGCTGCCTCCCGGCGGGTCCCCGCGTCCCCGGTGCCGGCGACGAAGGGCCTGAGACCCCACTCCCGCCCCGCCCCGCCGGGAGGGCCCCCCAGCCCCGGCCCCGGCGCCGCCGCCCGCACCCACCGGCCCCGCACCCACAGGCCCCGCACCCACCGGCCCCGCACCCACCGGCCCCGCACCCACCGGCCCCGCACCCACAGGCCCCGCACCCACAGGCTCCGCACCCACCGGCTCCGAGGTCTGCGCTGACAGCAATGGCGGAGGCGCGCAGCCGCGCGGGAGCGAGCGATCCGGCTCGGCGGCCCCCTCCCCTCTCTCCCTCCTCCCTCCCCTCTCTCCTCCCTCCTTTCCCTCCTCCCTCTCCCTCCTCCCTCTCCCCTCCCTCCTCCCCCCGTCCCCCCCCCCCCGCCCTGCCGCAGCGCCCGGCGCACAAAGGAGCCGGGGCGGCGGGACGGGCGCTCCCCGGGGACCCCGCTGCACCCGGAGGGGAGGGGCGCGCAGGGGGGTGGAGGGCAGCCCTGGGCGGTGCCCGGGGCGCGGGGCGAGTCCTAGCGGAAAAGGGGGGGGGGACCCTAGGGATGGAGTGACCCCGAAAGTGGGGGAGGTGCCGTCTGCAGCCGCTCTGACGGCGGGGGGGGGGGGGGTCTGGAGGATGGGAAGGTTGGGGCGATGGCAGGAGGCGGGGAGGGCGCAGCTGGAGGGAGGAGGCCGCAGAGGGCGCGTCCGCCTGCGGAGGGGGCGGCCGCCGGGAGAGGAGGGGGCGGCCGCCGGGAGAGGAGAGGAGGGGCCGGGCTGGGTGGTGCAGGTGGGGGCGCCCTGCAGAGCGGGGCGGTCCCCCGGGGCAGAAAGACGGAGGTGTTCCCCGCACGGCACAGGGTGCGCGCACCGGGCACCCACCGGGTGGCGTGGCGGGAGAGAGAGGTTTCTCTGCTCTGGTCCCCTCCGCAGCCTCAGCCGCGGGCATCCCCGCGCCTCGGCCTGGGATGAAGGAGGGGGTGTAGCCTGCCCTGGACCCCCCCCCCCCCATACTGCCCGCTCCGTGGGCCCCGCGGGCGCAGCTGCCCACAGGAAGGCCCTGTTTTGCGGACTTCCAACCAGCCGGGCGGTGGGAGCCCAGGAGCCCGGGAGCCCGGGAGGGAGGCAGCGGCTGGAGAAATGCCGGCCCGAAGCCTTGTCACCGCCTGGCCTGGGCTCCCCTGCCGGGCATGGACCCCGTTTCCCACCGGCCGCCGGAGAACCAGGAGAGAACACACACTCACACACACTCTCACACTCACACACACACTCACACACACTCTCACACACACTCTCACTCACACACTCTCACACTCACACACACACTCACACACTCACACACACTCTCACACACACAGTCTCACACTCACACACACACTCACACACACTCTCACACACACTCTCACACTCTCACACACACTCTCACACTCTCACACACACTCTCACACTCACACACACACTCTCACACTCACACACACACTCTCACTCACACACTCTCACACTCACACACACACTCACACACTCACACACACTCTCACACACACAGTCTCACACTCACACACACACTCACACACACTCTCACACACACTCTCACACTCTCACACACACTCTCACACTCTCACACACACTCTCACACTCACACACACACTCTCACACTCACACACACACACACTCTCACACTCACACACACACTCACACACTCACACACACTCACATACTCACACACACTCACACTCTCTCACACACACACACACTCTCACACACACACACTCACACTCACACACACACACACTCACTCACACTCACACACACACTCACACACACACACACACTCACACACACACACTCACACACACACACTCACACTCACACACACACTCACACACACACACTCTCACACTCACACACACACTCACACTCTCTCACACACACACACTCACACACACACACACACTCTCTCTCACACACACACACACTCTCACACACACACACACACACACACACACTCACACACACTCACACACACACACACACTCACACTCACACTCTCTCTCACACACACACACACACACACACACACACACACACTAACCCCAGGGGGCCTGGCTCTGCCCGCTGTGCTGAGCCGGAACCATGACCGCCAGCAGCCGCTTGGCGGGGGTGCCCTGGTTTCCAAACCCGCAGAGGGCCCGCCCGTCTCAGAGGAGGTCACTGTTCCTCTCCACCAGCTCCGGTCCCCGCGGCCCCACGAGGCCTGGGTCCCGGGCAGCCCGCAGGGCCCCTGGCCGCCTGGGCAGCGCAGCCCCAGCTCCGGGCTCAGCTCCCTCCTCAGAGGCCCCTGGACAGCGGCTCAGGTGCCGAGGAGGCGGCGCTGTGAGCAGGTGTCACGTGGGCCCAGGCAGCGGGCGAGGACGAGTGGTCAGCCCGCTCGGGGCGCTGGGGGCAGGCTGTCTAACCCCCGGGGCGCCCTGCCCTCCCATGGCCTCTGCCAGCCGAGGACAGAGACCAGGAGGGCCGTGAACGGTCACGGCGCTGTCCCTGGTTCTGACTGGCGCCGCTCGCTGGACTTGGCACCTGCGTTCTGTGGGTTTGGGGGTGCCCAAACTGTGCCAGGCCCTGTGACAGTGACACACAGGCGATGCCAAGGCGTAGCACGCAGCCCGCCCGCCGGGAGCTTAGGAGGAGGGAGAGGAAACCGCCAGCCAGTCTTTGAGGGGAGCAGTGAGCCCGGGGGCAGTGGGGGGACCTGTGGGTGAAGGGCGGGGTCCCCTGGAGAGGCTTGGGGGACGCAGGGCAGGCTTTGTGCTCAGGGAAGGCATTCCGGGTGGGAACAGAATGCACAGACACAGCCACAAACCTGGGGGCTGAAAGCAGCCGAAATGCGAGGTCTCCACGTTCTAGAGGCCAGAGATCCAAAATGAAGGCGCCCACAGGCCACGCTGCCTGTAGAGAGAGCCTGTCCCTGCCTCTGCCGGCCTCGGGTGCCCCGGCATGCCTCGGCTGTGGCCACATCACCCCAGCCTCTGCCTCCGGGGCACGCGCCTCCTTAGTCAGTGCCTCTTATAAAGGCACTCTGGCCCTGACCGGTTTGGCTCAGTGGGTAGAGCATTGGCCTGCGAACTGAAGGGTCCCAGGTTCAATTCTGGTCAGGGGCATGTATCTTGGTTGCGGGCACATCTCCCATAGGGGGTGTGCAGGAGGCACCTGATCAATGTTTCTCTCTCGTCAATGTTTCTAACTCCCTATCCCTCTCCTTTCCTCTCTGTAAAAAAATCAATAAAATATATTTTAAAAAATAAAAATAAATAAAGGCACTCGGGCCTCGGGGCCACGCAGATCACCAGCATACGGTTCTCGCCCCAGCGTCCTGAATCCGACCACGTCTTTGGCCAGCGAGGTGTGGCTCCAGGTCCCGGCAGCATGGAGCTCAGCCTGCGTGGATGCTCTGAGAGGGAGGGTCTCAGCCAGAGGCCAGGCTGAGAGGCCGCAGTCACAGACGGGGGACAGTGGACACTGGTGGCTGCAGGACAGGCAGGCGGAGGTCTCTGCAGCGCACAGCATGAGGTAGACAGGACCCTGGTTTTGGCTGAGCACCCACAGTCTCTGACCCCTAAGCTCACGCGTTGGGTTTTTCTGAATGACTCTTCCAGGCTGACCGATCCTGGGACCGGCCCATCACTGCTGGGGCGATAGCAACCACTCGGCCCCAGCCACCCTGCACTGGGCAGCCACGGCTGCTCCCCCCCCCCCCCTCCCAATCCCCCCTTAGCCTGAGGTGGCTTCCAAGTCCAAGCCTGTCACTGCTTCCCTTGTCCTGACGCTCGTAGTGCTGACTGCCACAGCGGGAGGCAGGGGGACTCCGTCTGATTTCCAATCCTGTCTCTGCCCCTTCCTCGCTGTGTGACTTTAGACAGGTTGCTTAACTTCTCTGTGCCTCCGTTTCCCCATCTAAAGAATGGAGATGATGATACCTCCATCATAGTGGTGTTATGAGAGTCAAATGAGTTGATATTACATTATTTAAAAAACCACACACAGCGCCTGTTGGCCTGTGATTACGGCTCTGACCTCTAATCCATACCCTGTGGTTTTATTGGTAGCGCAGGCCAGAGCCGGGACGAGGTGGTGGGCGTGTGTCCTGGCAGGATTAGGGCCCTGAGTGAAGGAGGAGCCTGCGGTGCTGGTTCCCCCTGTGCCC